TTACTGCCTTTCCGTGGGCACAGGGAGGGTGGAATGCTTTTTTTTCATCTTCACTTTCCTAGGCTAAGATCTTGGAGGCTGCAACCAGCCCTGAGGTTACCACCTGAGTTGCTAAACCAACAATTTAATGAGAAATGCTGGGCTGGAATCTGAGGTGTGTGTGTGTGTGTGTGTGTGTGTGCACGTGTATGCGCGTATGTGTGTTGGGCAGCTGGAAGAAGCCTTTCGGTGTGACTATGGTGGAGACCCCACTGGGGCTGTGGGAGTTGCTGAGCTCTGGAACTTAAGATAACAAACCAACAGGACCCAGTGGGGCAGTTTGTCCTCACCTTGTAAGGATCAGGTTGCACAGAACCTTGTGATCAACGCCTGTGAGAGTTTAGCGCCACCTCCAGGTCTCCCCAGAGTATGCACACGACAGCCCATGGCTTCTCGAATCCCAGAAACAGCCATTTCCAAACCTTCACTCTCTATTTCAAGCCTTAGTCTCTCCCCCCCGCCCCCAGCTTCTTGGTGAATTGTTTGCTCCAGATGCTATTTACCACCCGAAGCTGAACGCTTGCACTGATTGTTCTAAGTGTTCGCAGAGACAAGACTGGTCCTACTGGGTGAGCCCCAAGTCAAGTGGGGGCAAATAAGGCCTTCCAAGTATCAGAGCTCGGGATAAAACACAGCTGTACCTCCAAGAAAGCCCACCAAACTGTGACGACCCCCCACAGGGTCAAGACCATTCCCACAGGCTATTTAAACTGCTCCCCACCAGAGAATAAACATGTGGTCTCCCCTTTCTCTCCAGAGGTCTTTCAGGTTCTCCTTCTCCCTGCTCTGTGTTTTCCTAGGGGCCACCCAGGAGTGCTGACACCCATTAAACCTGGCATCTTTTAGTTTGGTCTGATTTGGTTTGATTGCAATTACTGGGTTACTGGAGACGTTTGTAGGTTGGAAACTACTTCACAGAACGGTGCAGGTAGAGAGGGGAGAGGGCTCTGCTTCAGGAAATACTATTAAATGATGAGGGAAGAGATCTCTCTCGTAGGTTCTCAGATGTTACCCTATTATAGCATAAGATGGTTCCCAAGTACTGTCTCATGAGATTCTCATGAGAATCTGCTATAGGACAGGTGAGAAAGTCACAGATCACCACACATATAATGTTAAATTGAGTTCTTTATTTTTGGAAGGCCAACACCTCAGAAAGTTCTTGATCCTGAAGCTCAGGGGTAGTGTTTTTAAAGTAAAAACCAAACCACACCAACCAAAAAAAACAAAAACACAATCACATCATTGTTTGATGAGGGCCAGAGTAACTATGCAACATTTATTTCAGCAGAACATAATAGCTATTTCACATTGATTTATACCTTTTCGGTAAGTTTATGTTTAGTTTGTATGAACATTGGCCAGGGTCATGGAAATGCCAAATGAGCTGCCAATGCTGATGTGAGTGTTGGGACACTGAGGGCTGAGAATGGTCTAAGAAGACACAGAATGGAGTACAATAAGATGGCGCTACTTTAGTAACTTCAAATTCAGTCAACCAATGAGGATAACCTTGTGAGTTTCCCTTAAACATCCTTCCTACAATCTGGCTGCAGGCTAATCTCACTCATTCTCACTGGACCTTCATCAGTGTACTAGAAGAATGGCTGGGACACCATTTGGTTCCAGCTCTGTCACTTACTGCATTAGAAATATATTTTTTGGGATCACTGTGATAAAATACCTCAAAGAAGCAACTTCAGGGAGGCCGAGTTTACTTTGGCTCATGGCTGGAGAGGGGACAGGCTACTGTGGCTGGGGGACAGCAGCAGGTCTATGACTTACCTGTGGTGGCAGTGGGAGTGTGAGGCTGCTTGCTCATGGCTCAGTGGGTCAGAAAGCAGGGTCAGTTCATCCTCTCGGCCCATCTCCAGGAACCTGCATCCTCTAGTTAGGTTGTACGACCTGTTAGTATTCAGGCATCTTGCTGGCCTGCCCTTGGGGTCCTGACAGGATATGTCCTCAGCTGCAGCCACAAAGAGCACCTCCTGTGCATATTTACTACGCTCCCTTTTAAAATGGCCCTGCCGACCTCCCATCTCTCTCTGTCTCTCTTCTGCTGTTCCTGTCCCCGGAACCTCCCTCTTTTTAGGTTCCCTTTCCCTTAATAAAAATGCCTCCGTGTGAACTGTGTTACATGGTGTCTTTCTCTCATGCGCCGCTTTTCCTGAATTACAACACAACCTCCCAAAAGAGCAGCTTCAGCTGGGGACTAGCTGTCCCGCGCTATCGTCTCGCCAGTAAGAACTACGTGGTACATATAGGATATTTTTGTAGTAAAGCTTTAATGCCCCTTGGGAGAGCGGGCATCAGCCAACATGGCGGAGACCCAGATAAGATGGAACCCATCCCTTATAAAGGAAACAGACCCTGCTTCGGACGTGTCATTCTTGGATAGGTCCGTTGCTCCCAGTCCCAGGTGATGCCTCGGGAGTAGGCGGGGACTCAGTGGGAAATTACCGAGCATATGTGCGTTCACCTGGCGGTGAAGCCGGATGTCAGCGCCATCTTGATAATGGAGAATGTGGCTGTGGCCTTCTACATCTCCCCCTAATTTTACTTCTTTGCAGAAAGGCAACTCCCTAGGAAGGTAAAGATAGAGGTCGTACTTTCCAAAATGAAAACATTAAAATGGGCTTACATGGAATCTGTCCCTAGGCTCATGACATCTGGAACCTATCCGGCCTGCCCTCTGTCAATTTTCTGGGAAAGGGAAATATACGGCAGGAAACCCTTAAGCAGAGCGACTTATCTCTCAGAGAGGGCCATTCTCTGTGCGATGCTTTTCAGCTCGACAACCTTCAGGGCTAGCTAAGCCAAGCACTCCACCCTGTGCAATGGACCACAGTCCTAGGGGTGCAGGAGCTGGTTGGCTTAAACCTTATTGCTTTAACATAGATAACCACATATCAGAAGAGGCTCCCTGTTCCAGGGCAGCCAGCACTGTGTAAAAACCACTTTGTCCCTAAGACTTTGGGATTTGAGTCAGCAGACCATCCAGAGGAGAAACATTATTCCATAGCATAGGACTGTTTCAAACATTCCAACCCCCATCCATTCTTTGAAGTAGGAGATGAAGGACATAATCCAGGACTGGAATTCTTTGGCCAGGCTTATGTCCACTCGCGTGGAGTTGATTGTCATGATGGACCATCTCAAGGAGGACAGCAAATCATCAAAATTTTCCTGCAAGATATAAAGACAATTTTCGGGACAAGTTAGCCATTTTTATAAAGTTCTCATATGGTACATTGGTCATATATAAGGCTGGAGTTTTCCATTTACAGTCCAATTGGGCAAGCTGTCATAAGATATCCACCTGTTCTTTATTCTACCTCTAATAGATGTATCTATGGTAGCTTGTTGATCCAGGGCTATAGCCACTGTGGTAGATACCTGATTGAGGGTCTCTGTTTTTTATGATATAGGCCGTGTTGCCCCAGTGGCGCCTAGGAAAAACCCAGGCCCTGTTTGTTGATATAAGGTTTAAGATTTATTGGCTCCCGTATTTCTTGTTGGTATGGTGGCCTCGGGCTCCAGAGCCCACCCGCCATCCAAGGGCTGTGTGCGGCTGCATGGCTCCGCGTGTCCCAGGCCAGGAAGTGGCGGCTCCACCCCCAGGCGCCCCTGCCTTCCTTGCGGGGCTAACCTAGTTCTCTGAGGCTGTGTTGGTGGCGGAGTGTGGCGGGAGCCGACACTCAGACCGAGGCGGCATAGGCGGCAACATCTCAAGGTTCGCGCCAGAGCCGCTGCAGCTCAAGGGGCCGATGGGAGAGGCGGCGAACAGGGCCGCTTCCCTACTAGCAAACTCTCAACATCTGTGCCATAGCAAAAGCGGTTGTAAACTCTCACAGATCCAGCCAACGACCCAATCATCCTAAAATCCAAGGGCCCTTCGCATCCATCTCCCTGCGGATCCTGAAACATCAGACAAGCCAAGCGTATACACAGCAATCTTTTAGGAGGACTTGAGTTTTTAAAATGCTAAGCTGTTTTTAAAAACTTAAGTCGCACTATGTAGATGTAATACGGTATTGCCTGTTTATTGCGTCTAAACCTTAATTGCGCTTTTATCATGATAATTACGACCAGCCCTGCCTGAAGTCAGCATAGTTTAGCGTAGCCAAATGGAACCAGAGCCATTTTAGCCTCAGAGACCCTCACAGTTTTAGGTACATTGTAAGCCCTCTGGCCCGGCTGTCTGTGGCACTGCTCTCATTTTTGGCATTGTTGTGACATCCTCCAGGCCAGGCACCAACCGAGCCTGCGCAATATGCCTCCCACCATAGCCATAGAGCAAAGCTCCGCTCCAGTTGCCCTCCAGCCCCAGCTGCATCCATTCCGAGCCCAAACCGGTGTATGGAGCAAAGCGGAATTCAGAGAAGCAGGCTTGCTGCTCTGCAAGGATCTCATTTAATCTTTTAGGGAATTTGGGCGTCGTTTAGTCTCTTTGGCTGCTTCCTGTTGTTATTGGGCCGCTGAATTTTAGGGGTATATATTATAACATTTTAGGAGGTCTCGGTGATTCAAACCATATAAATCCCAAGTACACCCTTAGGCTCTCCTTTTCTGTGGAGATGAAAACAGAACCTCTTTCCCAAAACATCATATCCTTAGCAATTTTTAAGTTTAAATATCTTTCTCCTATCCAGTACACAAAAGACAACATGAACAACATAACATAAAGCTTTTGACCTTGTAAATCAGCCTTCTCCCCCATTTTCATTTTTTTAGAATCATTGGGGGGTCCTTTTTAACTTATTTTTTTTTCTGTTTTCCCCATTCTTTACCGGAGGGTCATTTTTAACTTATCTGGGTGCGCGCACAACCTCCCACTGCTGTTCAGTTTTTGATATGCTCTCTGGACTTTAGAACGTACCTCTCTAAGCATGTATGCCTGCAGTTCTGAATCCTCCTTGTGTCCAAGGGGTCTCCGGCGGTGTAAAGTTTTTCTTTTTCTTCCCGGGTTTCGGCACCAGATGTCCCGCGCTACCGTCTCGCCAGCAAGAACTACGCGGTACATATAGGATACTTCTGTAGTAAAGCTTTAATGCCCCTTGGGAGAGCGGGCATCAGCCAACATGGCGGAGACCCAGATAAGATGGAACCCATCCCTTATAAAGGAAACAGACCCTGCTTCGGACGTGTCATTCTTGGATAGGTCCGTTGCTCCCAGTCCCAGGTGATGCCTCGGGAGTAGGCGGGGACTCAGTGGGAAATTACCGAGCATATGTGCGTTCACCTGGCGGTGAAGCCGGATGTCAGCGCCATTTTGATAATGGAGAATGTGGCTGTGGCCTTCTACAACTAGCCTTCAACCATGGGAGCCTGTCAGGGATGGTCCGCACTCAAACCAGAACACTTGCCATGCGCCTTTGACTGAGAGTTTTCATTTTCGTGGGTTCAGTGTCTTTATCTCTAAAACGAATTACTTGAAAATCTGGAACCTGGGGCTGAAGAGATGGCTCAGCAGTTAAGAGCACTGATTGGTCTTCCAGAGGACCTGGGTTCATTTCCCAACACCTACATGGCAGTTCACAACTTTCTGTAATTCCAGTCTAGGGGACCCAACAGCCTCATACTGACAAACATGCAGGAAAAACACCAATGCACATGAGGTAAAAAGAAATAAATCATTAAAAAATTCAAAAAATATGGAACCCAACCATTTAAAAGACTCACGTTTTTGCAACAACTGAATCAATATTTTCCAGAGGACGACAAACTGAAGCGAATTCTTCAAAATCAAAACTCCAAACACTGCAGTTTATGGGAATAAAAAAATAGAGGCAACCAGAATTCATAGAGATGGTTCCAGAACACTGTATAAATAGTAATCATTTAAAAACAATAACAGCTTCTAATAAATAAAGGTTCTTCATAGTCAGCATAGTGCTTTACCCTAAGGTTAGCACAGCATGATACAAAGGGTTTCAGGTTATAGGGAACCGGAAACCACCCTGAAAGTGTCTGATCTAGTTGCTACTTGGATGGAGAAATGGATTTAATAAAAAGAAAATGCAAAATTATGGAAACAAAGCAGTGGCATACAAATAAATTATGTTCAGAAAAAAGACATGTTTTACATTGTTGTCAAGTGTTGCCATGAGTAAGCTTCCTCTCGTTACAATTCTTAACATTGTGTATCAGGTAATGTCTGACTTGAACCTGCCAGGCAAGCTGATTTGGAATCAGGACCAGCTGGGGGAGGGCCGTGTTCTCATCCAGAGTGACATTAACTGGAGGCAAAGAGAAAGCACATCAGCGGATGCCAATGGACCGTGGCCCATCCCTCCTTCTCTAAAAACACGCAGCAGTGTTCTAGGGGCTGACAGGTATCCTCAGGGAAGAGATGCCTGCCCACAGCTTCTGTCCTCTCAGCAGCAGCTGTAGGCAATGCCAAAGATGACAGCATCCAGAGTTTGCTGTGGTCTACCTCACCCTGTCCCAAAGGTCTGTTAAGAGTTCCAAGGAAATACCAGGCTTTCTCCCACAATTAAAAATCTCCTTGCGATCATACTGTAAGCGTATCAACAGTTTCACTTCTGTTTATTCTTGGTCTTTGAGTTCTTAGGAGGCGTGCTTGTTTAAATGGCAATTGGCCCTCAGAGGTTCCTATGTTTTGAATACTTGGTCTCCAGCTGATAAAACTGTTTGGGTTGGGTTAGGAGGTGTGGCCTTGCTGGAGGAGGTGTGTCACTGGGAGTGGGCTTTGAGGCTTTGAAAGACTTGTGGCATTCCCAGTGTACTCTCTGATTCCTATTGTAGTTCAGGATATAAACTCTCAGGGGCTGCCCCAATGTCATCCTCTGAATGGCTGCCATGCTCCCTGCCATGATGGTGGTAGATTCTTATCCCTCTGGAAGTGTAAGCCTGGAATATACCCTTCCTTCAAATAGTTGCCTTGCCATGGGGTTTTATCACAGGAATAGAAAAGTAACAATATAGCTAGGGGGCGCTAGGGCACCTTTAATCCCAACACTTGGGAAGCAGAGACCAGCCTGGTCTACAGAGTTCCAGGACAGCCAAAACTATACTGGAGGTTAGATCTCTGAGCCCAGAGAAACAAGTAAACTGACCTGCATATGACTGTGCCAATCTCCATTCTAAAAAACAAAAACAAAACCAGAAGTCACTACCACATTAAAGGAGAAATATTTTGTGAACAGTACAACAAAAGAAAATGGAAACAAATGAAATGTTCAGAAGTTTTTTTTTTTATAAACTGAGCAAATATACCACAAAGGCCTCCTAAAGATAGAAAAGATAGGATGAGAAAAAATAAGAGGGCCAGTTACAGAGAAGACAGCTCTAAGTGTACCGGATGTAACATCAGTCATAAAAAACAAGTCTTTGATCCTATGAAAAGGACATGGAAATCCTTGTTAGCCTGCAATCAATTCTTCAGATGGTGAGAGACTGTTGCTCCATCTGTGGTGGCTGAAAGGCAACATTGGGTCAACAGTGCTTGCTGCAGCCAGCACCGCAGCCTTTCCAAGTCGGAGGAAGCTCATTAAGACATAGGATGTTAAGGGGAGGGAAAAACAACAGGATATACTAAGGGAGGTGGAAGATCTCATCCTGCAGGGAAGCTTGTTAAATTTGGAAAATAACTCAATACCTGTAGGAAGTCCCTGACCAGATACACTGGCCCCTACACCCCAACTAAGCATATTATACTGTAAGGATTGCTTACATTTTCAGATAAGTTGAACTCCCTTAGAAGTCGAGACCAGCTGTCTGGCTGGAAGAAGCAGAAATCAGGCAAGCTGCCTTCAAGAGGCTGGGAACAATTGTGTTACCTGGACAGACTACTCTCCAATCTGCTGAGATGTCTACAGGTTTCTAGCTTTTATGAGCTGTCGCTAATGCTGGTGTTGGTGAGAGAGTTGTCTTTGGATCATTTCTGCGCCTATAAGTAACGCTTCCCTTTATTCCTATACGTAGTCTTATAGTAATCCGTTTATTGCTGTAAGTAACTAATAATGTCTTAGTTACTAGTGACGTGATGAAACACCACGATTAAAGCAACTTGGAGAGGAGAGGGTTTTTTTGGCTTATGCTTCCACATCACAGTTCATCACCAAAGGAAGTCAGGACAGGAACTTAAGCAGGGCTGGAACCTGGAGGCAGGAGCTGATGCAGAGGCCACGACAGGGTGCTGCTTACTGGCTAGGACCTCATGGCTTGCTCAGCCTGCTTTCATAATAGAACCCAGGACCACCACCAGCCCAGGTCTTCCTGTATCAATCACTAATTAAGAAAATGCCTTACAGGCTTGCCTACAGCCTGATCTTCTGAAGGCATTTTCTCAATTGAGGTTTCCCTCCTCTCAGATGATTCTAGCTTGTGTCAAGTTGACATAAAACTGTTCAGCACAAACCCTAATAAAACTCATTGGTTCACCAAGTTGGACTTTAATGGTATCTGTATTTTGTTCTCTCCCTGGTTCTTTTTCTGGGGTGAACAGATGTTTGCTTCTATCTTCACAGGAAGATGCCACACAAGACCACTTCCCTAGCACCACATAAGCCAGGAAAGGCAATACATGCCCGCACTCCCAACACATAGGAGTATAGGCAAGAGGATTAGGAGTTCAAGGCCAGCCTCAGCGACATATTCCATCTTAAAACAAAGCATGGTTATAATTAGACTCTTCCCATTCACGAGACTGGCCAAACTGTCACCAGAAGATCAAAGGAAGAAATGCAGAGGAGAGGACAAGCGATCTATGGAGAATACTTCCATACTGGATAAATCATAAAGCCAGTGTAGTGTCAGATGCCTTTAGTCTCAGCACTGAAGAGGGAGAAGCAGACTGGTTTCTGTAAGTCTGAGGTTCACCTGCTCTACATAACTAGTTCCAGAACAACCAGGGCTACATAGAGAGATCCCATCTCAAAGAAAAAAAAAGAAAGAAAGAAAAAAGAAAAGAAAGAAAGAAAAGACAAGGAAGCTGTTCTCACAATAACAGGCCTGCGTAAACAACCAACACGTGAGAAATCAATCCACCAAAGGACATGCTAATGAGGAAGGAGAAGCCAGAAATCCACTCCTAGATAAAGACTACAGATAAAAACTAACAACTACTGAAAGAAGATCGCATGATCCTCCTGCCTCTGCCTCTTTCAGCAAATCTTACAAGCATGTGCCACCACAACTGGCACAGATAATTAAACAATGAATAGCAGGGAAGCTGAGCTCAGTTGATGTGAGTGCTTGTATACCACACATGAAACCCTGGGTCAGATTCCAGCACCACATATACTAGGCATGAAGATCATCTGTAATCTAGCACTTGGGAGCTGGAAGCAGGAAGATCAGAAGTACAAGGCCATCCTTGGCTATAGCCTGGCCGACCTAAGACGCATTATTAAAAAAAAAAAAAAAAGAAAAAAGAAAAACAACAACAACAAAAAAAACCCAAAACCAAAACAAAATAGCAGGGTTTGGGGGTATACATCAGTGGAGAAGCACTTGTCTAACATGCACAAGGCATTATATTGAGACCTAGAAGTGAGAAAAAAGAAAGAAAAAGAGGTGATTTCTATTCTATGAAAGAAGGTAAATGAAGATTCCAAGGGTAGAAGGAGAAACTAAGGAAGAAGACACACCTGAAAATGCAAAGATGAAGAGGTACCAAGCGCACAGATCATCAGACAAGAAATGCTGTTGCCTAAACTAGACACAGAATCTGGGAACACACGCAATGGCTGGACTCTGGAAGTCCTGTGAACTCAGTCAAAGTTTGAAGAAAGTCAGAGTTGAGAGTTAATTGCAAAATTAGTAAATGTAAAATTTCTGGCTACATCAAGAAAGTCTTTGCCTCAAAAATGAACGATACTCACTAACAAAGTTTACTCATGACGATGCAGGTGTCCTTTGGTGTGAGTGGGAAACGGCTCCAGGGTCCCCTTGAATACCAAAATCTGCAGACGCTCAGGTACCCTGAAGAAAAGGGCGTTAAATCTGTGTTTACAGATGCACATCTTCCAGTAACCCATGCCCATCCTCCTTTATGCTTTAAATTATCTCTGCATTAATTTAAAATGCCACTATAAGGAAAATGCTATGAAAACAGCTGGTATGCAGGACCAACAAGAACAAAGTCTGTACATGTTCAGTACAGGTGCATATTTTTCTGCTGAATGCTTTCTCCCCCTGCTGGTTGAGTCCACAGATACAGAACCCAAAGGATCTCTCTATCAACGAGCATAGAGAAGCATAGAGAGCATAGAAAGCAAGAATCCTGGGCTGGTGGGATGGTTCAGTGGGTAAAGGTGCTTACTGCTGAGCTTTATAACCTGATTTTAATCACTGGGAACTACACAGTGGAAGGAGAAACCCAGCTCCCAGGAGTTGTCCTTTGATGTCCTTTGATCTCGCACACAATGCAGCACCCACACATGTAGGTGTGGAGGCCTGCCAAGATGAGCTAAGTATGGGCAGGTCACCCAGAGGAAGTTCTTTACTTCCCACCATTATCACCTGCCAGAGTAAAACTCTGGCCGCTGATGAATTTAAATGGAGGCCTGAGTCTCAGTAGTTTACCCTGAGGCAATGTCTGGTTGCAGAAAGAACCACAAACTGAGATTACCCAACCTCCACCCAAGAACAGACCATTCAAAGGAAATGCCTGGCATTTCAACCACTACAGATAGGAATACCTGCCAGCACACACTCACCAGGACACCTAGACAAATGTCAGCCAATCAGGGGTCTTAAAACCTCAGAAACCCCTCACCCCACCTTTACTACTATAAAACCCTATTCTAAGTTGATGGTGCAAAGGGTCCACTGTCGTGGGCTGAGAACTAGATTTCACCAGGATTTTTTTTAAACAGAACCATGTTTGAAGCCAGATGTGGTGGCACCTATCTGTTAGCCCAGAACCTGGGGGAAGAAGTCAAGAAAATCAGGAGTTCAAGGGCAGAAACTACAGTATCAGATTTTTTTTCCCCACTACTAAAGCTTATAATTGTTATGCTCAGAGTTTAAAGCCATACCCATACACATTATTGTGTCGCTGAAGTCAAAACCTGTCTACTCACCAGCTACTTTCAGATAGATGAAGGCTTCTCCATGGGCTTGTTTATCCCTGAAGGAACACCCATAAACCCCTTCATCAAAGTCCTGGTGTATCTTCAGAGTAACATGCCCCAAAGTGACGTTGTACTGCACTGTTGTCACCGTCCTTGATACTCAAGCGCCTGCTCTTCCTCCAGCTCTTGGCCTTCACGGTGCACCAACACTGCAGGCGAGAATGGATTCTGGAACCAGCGTAGCTCCATATATTCAGCACTCACACTGGGTGAGCGGAGACAAGGCAGTTCTGAGTCTTCACCCACTAAGATCAAGATGAGATCCAGGGATTCATAGACTTCAAAGTGACCTGCAAAAAAAACAAGCAGGATCAGGCAGGATATGGAGATAGGTTAGACCTGACTGAAAGGAAACCAAAAGCAAACCCCTTCAAACCACTCTTATTCCTCCTCATGGACCCACCAGGATCCCCCGTGAGGATGTCTGGGAAGAAGCACTGCAACGCTTTGCATTGGTAGAAACAGCTCAACCCAGCGACCAGGGGGAATGGGGTGGGGGAAGAGAGGAAGATTTACCTGTATCTAGCTTGGGCAGCTGCAGGACCACAAGGGTGAAGGGTTTTGGAGGACTGCCACCCACATCTTTCTGAGCAGAAAGATACCAATAGGAGTCTGCCAGGAGCTTCAGCCTAGGGGGTGAATGGAATAGCTAGGAGGTAATTAAGGTCTCTGTGGACCCCTTGGTCCCCACAGTCCTCCAGATGTGCCTTACAAACTAAGGTGCTCTGGTCATTTGCATCTGAAATCTTTGCGCCTTCTTCTCCAGTAGGATTTTCAGTTCATGTCAGTCGGCATCAGTACCTGCCTGTTCACTTCCCCAAGTTTAGTCAAGTGTACATATGACAAGAGATAAGGCACTAATTACTAAGAGATACACAGGAGGCAGAGGAAAGCTATGATTTGTGAGATGCACAGAAAAAGGGGTGGGATTTTTTTTCAAATACAATAGCTTGTCATTTGTTTTGATCAATGAATAAACCAGGAAATTCAGCCTTGGGAGACTGAAGAGATGGCTTAGCAGTTGAGAACACTGACTACTTTTGCAGCGGGCCCAGGTTTAATAGCCAGCAATTACATGGTGGCTCATCATTATTTGTAACTCCAATCTCAGGGGCTCCAACATCCCCCGTCTGGCCTCTGTGGGTGCTGCATTCATGGGACACACATGAAGGTAAACAATCATATACATAAATTAAAATAAAAAAAATAACCAAGTATAGTGGTGTACACCTTTAATCCCAGTATTAGCCAGGCAGATGCAGGCAGATCTCTGTAAATCTGAGGCCAGCCTGGTCTAGATAGTGAGTTCCAAACCACCCAAAACTGCATAGTGAGATCCTATGTCAAAATCCAAAACCCCCAAGTAAGTAAATAAACAAAACAAAATAGAAAGAAAAAAAATTAATTCAGTCTAAGAAATGAACAGAAGAGAAGACCTCCATTTCCAATCTGGTACAGATAAACATTTAGAGTTGTCTGGGGCTTGACTTTTGAGAAGATAGGTAGGTGGTCATGGCTGGCCTGGGATTTGCTATGCTGAAAAGCAGGCAGTCCCAGAACCTGTGGCTGTCCTTCTGTTTCTTGTCCCATGGTACTGGAGAGGGAGCAGGAGTTAGACAGACCACCATGGCTAGGTAATAAAGGTGGCAAACTTCCAAGATGACCAGCTTCTTCCTCACCCTCCTGACCCGAGACAAAAGCCAGGCATCTTACAACTAAGGCCTTACAGGCTTTTGTCTCCCAGCAGCAGGCCCCCGTGAGGGACTGGCTCAACAAGTTCAGGGTTGGATTGGAACATGTTACATAATTATGGGCAAATCAACCATCCTATTTCTCTTCAAACAGAACGACACTAAAGTAGGTGAGGAAAACCTGTCAGACTTAACCCCAGCCCTCAAGAAGAGAATGGATCTTTATGCTCATATTCATGCACAACGGTTAAGAACTTTAAGAAGTTAAAAGTAAGTCATCGTTGACACAAGCTTGTAAATGTTCATCTTAGGGCACACCATGCACGCATAATTGCTATGGGGCCTCCCTCTCCCACCGACTTCATCTCACAATTCAGAGACCCTGCCAGCTCCTGCTCTAACAGCAGGCAGGCCTCATTCAGCTCCTCCAAGGCTGCCTGACCGGTCTGTCTGTAGTTAAACAGGGTCACAGGCTCTGACAAAGGGCTTAGAGTAAGCATATAAAGAAAGAAATGAATAAATATCTCTGACCTCAAGGCAACTTAGGGTCTTCTTTCATTGATAGATAAAAACCTACAAGAAGACCTCTATGGACTCTGTGAACCTATAAAAAGCTATAAAAAGTCAGATGGCAAAGAGATCACTTACCACCTAATTTCTTTCATTGACTTACAAAGATATAATTCTGGCCCGGCCTTTGAGCGTTTCTTTATAAAAATCAGGCCTCGCCTTTTCCTAGAGCTAACAGGCTTCCTACTGGATAAATAAACGCACAAACAGCTTTCAATGGGAAAACATACTCAAAGCTACCAAAAAAAAAAAAAGCTATTATTTTGACCTAAAAACTGCCTCTCTTCTACACATTTAAAGGGATAGTAATGAAAAAAATTTGTCTTCTCAACGACTACTCTGAATAATCAAGCACCTGGTATTAAGGAAAAACAGCAAATTAAAAAAATAAACTTTAACAGATGTAAAGATGCAAAGAATTTTAGTGATGAGGGGTCTGTGCTGAAAGATTAAAATGGTTGGAAGTTCCCAGATGGAAAGGAAAGGGAGAAAGTCCATGCAAGCTGTGAGGGTCTGAGTAAATGACTGAAGGCAGGTGAATGATAAGACTTAGAGATGACATATATGTGATAGTAAGTTGCCAAGTCCAAAGTTTAACACACCGACATCACGCCTCTACTCAAATCAGTGGACTTCTCTTAAATTATTAATCTATTCCCAATAACAGTTTAAGCACTAGCTACTAAAGCTTCACAAAAACAAAACTACCATAGACACAGTCTCAAAAAAAAAATAAATCTCCTTTGTTCATTTAAAATTTGATAATGTGAAGCTGGAGAGGTGGTTCAGCGGTTAAGAGCACTGGCATTTCTTCGAAAGGAGCCTAGTTGAGCAGGGTTCAGTTCCCAGCACCCACATGACAGCTCACAACTCTCTCACTCCAGTTCAGATATTCTCATACGCAGGCAAAACACCAATGTACATAAGAGTTCATGGAATAAAATACGTTTATGTTAACTTTTCAGGCTTTGTTTTTGGTATTGCTCAAATGAATGAGTCGGTTCGAAGTGTGTGCTGACACTAATTAACTGCTTTCTCTATTATGAGGATCCTAAAGCAGATGAAAACAGACAATGGTCCTGCTTATGCTTCTAAAACTTTTCATCTCTTTTTGTCAACTTTAAAGAGTTCATGTCTCTTTCAAGGGTGGTAAGTAGCTCAAGTCTTAGATCCCTGTACTGGACAGGCAGAGGCAGGGGGATCTCTGAGTACAAGCACAGCCTGGTTTACACAGAAAGCTCCAAGCCAGCCAGGGCTCCAGAGAGATCTTGTTTCAAAACAAACAAACAAACAAACAAACAAACAAACAAACAAACAAAGTTTATATTTCTCATAGCATTTCCTAGATTTCAAAAGACAAGCCATAATTGAGCAAAATAATGTATTACTTAAAAAAATCATTTGATTGGTATTGTGGCCCAGGTCTTTAATCTCAGCAGTAGCACTAGGAGGCAGAGGCAGAGCCTGGGGGGAGGGGAGAGTAGGGGAGAAGACGGAACGGAAGGGGAGGGGAGGGAAGGGGAGCGAGGGAGAGAGGGAGAGAGTGAACAAATGTCTGCACTGGGTGGTCCTGCAGGACGGAGCTCCTCGGGGTCGCACAGCGCGTTCTCCTCGGCACGCCAGGCCAGTCGCTCATCACCGCAGCCCAGCTGTCATTTCCTCACTCACCTCCTGCCCCCCATTTATAATGCACAGCTCCGACACGGTGGAGGACGTCAGGGTCAATATTTTCCCTTTGTTCGGAATTAGCGCGCAGTCATCCAGCAGCCTCCGACCCACGCGCTTCCTGAGCCAGCAAGGCGGGAGCTCTGAATCTGCGGTGCCATTGGCTAAACCGCTTTGAAAGACTGCCTCTGATTGGCTGTAGCTCGGTGGCGTTTCCTTATAGGAAGAAGCCCTTAGGCGCCTCTCTCAGGCCAAATTTAAAGTTGATCTGGAAGAAAGGAAACTGCCAACACGTGTCTGTGACACTCTGAGCAAAACTAACAATCTTTTTTTGTCAAAGTAGTTATTTGACTGAAAGGTGTCCCCAGCCCAGCTGTCATTCCCCATTTATAATTCACACGTCGAACAAGGGGAGTATTAGGCCATCAACAGTCTCCCACGCTCAAGAACTTTGGCAGTGTCTGTTCCCGCTGCCTGCCTACACACGGGAGGCCAGTCCGCGCTGCTGAAGCTCTGAATCAGCGGCTCCATTGGTTGAACCGCTTCGAAAGACTGCCTCTGAACAGCTTTAGCTTGCTGTGATTGGCTGAGATTACTCCGCTCAGTTTCTCTTTGAAATTAGATTGTGATGCCTTACAAGGGAGAAGCCAATAGATGGTTTTTAGCAGGCCCAATGTAAGTTGGTTTGGAAGAACGGAAGCTGCCAACACACATCTAAGAACACTCCTCTGAGAACGAGTAACGCAATCTTCTTTGATCAAAGTATTTGATTGACTAAAAGATGTTTTTCTTTTCTTTCTTTTCCTCCTCCTCCTCCTCCTCCTCCTCCTCCTCCTCCTCCTCCTCCTCCTCCTCCTCCTCCTCCTCCTCCTTCTCTTCTTCTCATGAAAAGTCAGTAACCAAGTGACATCTGCAGAGTGCCCCTCAGTGCCTGGGTCACAGGGTGTGTGTAGAAGTGAGGAGAGGATGCAGTGCTGAGGCTGGACAGCGGCAGAGAAGACGATAATGCAAGCCCTGCTCAAGGGAAGAGTTTGGAACCATGAACCTTTAGAGCTGCATTTCTCAATCTGTGGGTCACAACCCCTTTTGGGGAGGGGGGTCAAATGAGGCTTTCACCGGATAGCCCAAGACGACTGGACAATAGATTTACATTTTACATTTCTTTATTTACATTTCTTTATTTGTGCTTGCTTTGTAGTCCAGGAATTGAAAAGGAATTTGCAACCCTCCTGCCTTAAACTCCTGTCATCATGCCCAGCTCTCTGAATTAATTTCTACAAACCCAAGTCCCCTGCAGCCACTCCTTGGCTCTCGTGACACTGGTGAAGTCAAGGATTGCACAGTGAATTTCAAGGCTGTTATAGATTTTGAAACCACAAACTCAGTTCAGATCATAATTAAGCTACATCTATCGAAGCTGCTCAGGGTTGCATTCTCTAAGCCAAACTAGAGATGTGTTATTCCAAGGCAGATGGAGGAAGGGTTTTTAAAGGTGAAAACCATAAGGAGTCCCTGAATACTGCAAAAGCAAGCTTCAGACGCCTATTCTGCTCTGCCAAGATTAGGCAGTCAAGCAACCTCAAAATAATCCTGAAATGTCTGTATAAGCGGGATACAAAGGCCAAAATTAGTAGTTAGGCACATCATAACAAGCACATGACCACAGCTGCACAATTCTGAGTGTGTGTGTGTGTGTGTGTGTGTGTGTGTGTGGCAGGGGGTAACATTGAGTCAGAAACAAATGGCTAATGGGTACAAAGATGAATTGAAAGACCATACTTGAAAGACCCCCATGTCCACATACTATGTTAAACTCTGCTGAAACTTAACTGAGCCATAGAAAAAAAAGCCCCCAGGCTCAGCTAATGACTCTGCGAAATTTAGCTGAGCCATGGAAGGAAAGCCCCTCCCCCCCCACCAATGCTAAAACAGGATATCTATGGGGCTGACTAGGCTGAGGAGAGGGAGTACCCCACCCCCAAGGCATTCTATCTAAACTGTCAACTTGCTGCAGGGTTCTCTATCTAGCTTTGTGGTTTTTCGGGGGAAATTCGGGAATAGACATGGGGCCATTCCCCGGGTGACCTAAGCCTGCCAATTTGAGAACCAATGAAATGCTTGTTGCTACACAGCCTCTTATGTAACTCTTAAATCCCTATAAATACATAATGTGCCTTCAGCCTGGGATGCTCAGTCAGCTACGCTGCTGAAGCATCCATAGGCGCCTGTGTATATTAAATAAACTGCCTCTTGCTCTTGCATCCAATGGACTGGTTCTTGGACAGAGAGCTCCAAGTGAGACCCCCTGACATTTGGGGTCTTTCAGAATGCCTAATCCAAAAGAGTTTCTTTAGCCATCACTAGACCATAAGTGCTGGGGTCCATACGAGAGAAACAGCAAGCAGCTTCGGAACTCATGGAATAGGGCCTAGCATAAACACACTGGGTGAGCTTTGGAGAGTCAGACCCCTGAAGACAACGTGTCCTGAGGACCTCATGCTGTGGTTGAGCATAGTTCTGCTTATTGCCCTTGCAGTCACTGTACCTCATAATCCGTGAGTTGTGTGAAAACTCTCAGGGAGTTTCTAGCTCCTCACTGTGCAGTGTTACTGATACAGCAATAGCGATCGACTTTTCCCAAGCATTACTGCTGGAGCGGATTAATGATTCAAACACCACCCTTAGAAAAAATTCAGATTCTTAGTAAAGTTAGGTTAAGATGTCTTTGTTAATGACTTTGATGCAGAAAATCTGGGCGAACAATTTAAAGTTTAGAAAGGCACACTTTTAATAGTTGAGTGAGGGACTTGTTGAGATCAGGAAACAACACAGTGGCAGGCTGTCTATTGCTGGTTGATGTACCTTTCTTATTAGGATAGGTTGGTGACCAAAGGTGACTTTGTACCCATTTCAGTTTTCACTAATAAAAAAGCAATTGACAAGTGGGTGTGCACCATGAGATTTAAACTCATTGTTTTTCATATACAGAAGTTTAGATTTGTGATTTTTAAAAAATTTTTAGTAAGATTACTTTTTGAGATAAATAATAAGATGATTGATCCTTTCTTTGTAACCATAAAATGCAGCCTGCCAGTAAAAGAACTGGCTGAAAAAGATACCTTACTTGCTTACACTCTTGTTAATCTATAACAAGTTGCTTAGACATGAATGTATGTGAATCCTTGGAAAAAAGTTTTCACTGTAAAATATTTAATCACGTCAGGAAAATGGTGTTTTTAACTTGTATTCATTATAATCATTCACTTGAAAAATAGAATGTAACCACATTGTAATTTTTATACTGCTTGAAAGATTTTGCTGCAGCATATAAACTGTAAGGGGAAAGAATAAAGTAATACAGAAGGGGTACATCAGGAAAGGGGTAAGGAAAGAATTGAAGAGGATAGAGAGACACTGACCTGGTGAAGATGTGTGTGTGTGTGTGTGTGTGTGTGTGTGTGTGTGTGTGTATTTGTATGTTTCCCTTTTTTGTCAGCCCCAGAAAATTAAAGTTTTGTCCTGCTCACCGAGCCCAGATGTAGAGCCCAAGGTTCTACCCCTCATCTCGGGGTTCATTTTGAGGACAGTTTCTGGTCAGACATCTTGTTGTAATTTCCAGCTAAACATCCTGTTTGTCCCTATGTTCCCTCTGCCCCCCTGGTGGTTAGCTATAGGCTTATTGTTTACTCCATTTTGGACTTGGTAATTTCCCACCTTCCCACCTGCCTGGGGGGAATTCCGTTGTGCCCCAGCTAGGTATATAAAGTTTTTCCTAAACTCGAATAAATGGTAGTCCACATTATCTCCTCATGAATGATCCGTGTCTTGCGTGTTCCTTTAATCTCCAGGTCCTTGCCCTGCTCGCGAAAGATACAGTAGCGCAAACTGTAGCGTAGAGAACAACGTCGGAGTTACACCCAGAGAGTTAAGTTTTACTCCGTCAGATTAAAAAAAAAAAAAAAAATCAATTGAGTGATTATTCACCGACTCCTCTTCAGTTCCTGAGCTGCTGAAAGCTGGTCTTATAGCAGCACACATGTCATATTGTGACTGTATGCAAGACGGAGCAGTGACGAAACTGCCCACATGACCTCTCCAGGGTGTGGGTCAAGGAAGGATTCTTATTATAGATACAAGAGGGAAAACAGCCAGAGGCATCTGGAAGAGTCCAGAACAGAACAAGAAAGTAGATTGAACACAGCCCACAATGTTATTCCTTTGCTATGGTCCCTTTAAGGGCTAACCACGCCACTTCTGACCTTGTCGCCATCTTGGCTTTCCCCTTTTTCTGTCTGTTGGCGTGTGCACACGTGTTTCTGACTCTCTCTATGTTTGTCTCCATGTCTTTATGCCTCCCTTTCTTTAAGTAATAAATGTTTACCTTTATGTCTAGCCTTATGTCTGTTTACTATTATCCGCCGCACCTGCCTGCCTGACTCTCCCCTGCTGCATGACGGGACCAGCTCTGCTGCCACCGGTAACCTGTACCGCTCTGGCAGCAGCTTCTGCCTGGATTGCAGGCCGCTCGGGGCACTCCATCATCATCATATTCTTTTTAAAGAACAATACACAGACTATTTGTGAGAGAGGGGAGACTAACAGGTGATGTAGAATAGAGACAACAGCAAGGTTATAAGGAGGGTGACTGGCTGGGGGTAGGGAAGGGCCAGGAGATTGCTGTGGGAGCTTTGAAATGTGTAACAAACACTGTGGTATTGAGGGAGATTGGCAGCTGGTATGTGCCTGTGATTGCAGGGTCAACGGAGAGCCATTGTGTCCCTTCTGAAAGATGGGAGCCGGTTTTACCAGTTTCTGAGGAAGTCTGGCCTTTATCTCGCCATCAATATCCTTGTTGTTCAGCTTGAGCTCCTTTCTGGATGTTTGGACTGCACTTTGGAGTTTGGGGAATTGGAGTTTCCTTTGGACCTGACGGGGACCAAATAACTCACTAAGTTCCCTCTCAGTCCCAGTTACTTACTGACTCTAGGCATGCCAGCCTTGTTGTCTTCGCACACCTACGCACGCTTCCCTCATTCTTTCTACTTGGAACATTAGTCCTCTAGGTATTCCTGTGCTTGCTCTCCAAGTTTAGTACACTGACCTTTTACACAAATGCTGGGGGCTTGACCTACTTGATAAGTGTACTTTTAAAATAATTTCAGCTCAATACTACAACAATTATATTGCCTTGAATCCCAAATACTACTTTATGCAAGAGTTAGGAGGCTGACTCACCTTCAGTCCTTTCTAGCCTTTCTAGTCCTTTCTAACATGAACTGCAAGATGACC